TACGTCCTTTTTTCACCCTTGAGCCCCTATCCGCGTCCCGACGCCTACACTCTATTTAATTTAAATAACTTTTAAAAGTTCCGAGCCGCGACTCCGCCTCTTCTAGCAGATATCAGATCTCCGTTGCCGTGCCATCTCGATCCTCTCTTCCAAGGAAGACACACTTTATACGCAGAGTCACCCTCCTCTTTATTCTCACTTTCGCTTATTTCCCTTCCTTCCTTTTTTTCCTTACAAGAACCCGCGCGAACTTTCCAACTTGTTCTTCCTCGCCGACGCTTGCAGTCGACGCCTTTATTCACTGATTTAATTCTCAAATAATTTTGCGGATAATCACTTCATCCTGCTTTCAAGTCACCTGCTCTCTTCTTGGCTCATCGTTTCCACCCCTCACCGTTTCTCTTTAGCGAATGAAAAGCTAGTTTCACCTGTCTACGAGTCGGAGAGTTCACTTTTCGTGCCACGATAAAAAGTTGTATAGAATTGATTTTATACATTTTTTAATAGAATTTCCATTAACATTTTTAATCTGCCCATAAGCATACGCATACTTACTACCAATGCATTCCTTCTTGTTCCTGCAAATTGCTCCTTTGCCCAAGAATCAATTACTGACTGATTGCGGCCAGAATTTAACGAAGCAACTGAATATCCGGCTAATGAGGAGGAGAGTTGTTACCGAACGATCCCTGCGAAATAATATCCTGATTACGAAACCATAATTAATTTAGTCCCTTCGTCAATGCTACCGAGAGAGAAACCGAGATAGCAAGGGAGTAAGACTCTAACGGGAAGTTCATCAACGACGAGGAGTATTCGAAGTACATCCTAAAATTACATTCCATTGGCTCTCTTGGAGGAGTCAGGAATACCGTGCATTGCCTCGACATTCTCCTATACGGAGTACACCTAACCTATACTCAGTCTCCTGAATTCCCACGTTAAATCAACAAGGAAAATAAAGCCCCGATCGTTCCGAAAAGATTTTCTTTCGGCTTTACTTTTTCCTCTGTTTTCATTGCCTACTCTAATCCATTTCCCATCCAAACGATTCCGTCACGAGGTTCGCCATTGATTTTTCGAACCGAGGATGTCCTCTCGAACAGTTTTATGTCGTCACCCCGTTAATGCCTCTACCGACCGAAGAGACGTTATCTCTTGGATTTTATCGTCGACATAGTACTATACCAGTCTGCAGCCAGGGTCGCTTGCTCGGGTTGGAAATTCATGACGCCAGAGGATAGACGAGGGTCGCGTTGTTGAGCGATACGTCGCGTTCGCGAATGAGTAACGGAGTGCTGCACCCGCAGCATCCCCTATAGGTCCCTGGGTCTCTTGGCCTCTTGGTCTCTCTGACATTCGCCCTATACGTATACTCAGTCTCTCACCTTCCGCCCTTTCTCGTCTCGACTCTGGGTCTCTCCTATGTGAATAACAAAGTGGCTATCTTTCCTCCTAACAAAAGCGCAAATGACAAGGGGGATGTAGCGCGTTGCGCTGATTTAAATGCTTAATGACCTCTGCATGAGATAATACACAGGATGAGCGATGTCGAGGTCAGAATGGATCTTTAAAATTTTATCTACCCTCATTGCATGTAAGTACGTCTGGAATTGTACTTAAAAAAAGTTATAAGGGTCGATCAGTACATTTAATCATTATTGGTCCATTCGTAGAGACAGTTAACTAGTAAGATTTATCCCAATGTGGTTATAGCGCATTGATTTTGGAATTTAAGGAAAATTTCTTCCGGTTTGATATAGTGCTTGGTAGCTTCGAGGACCTAAAGAAAGTCACAGGGATGCTGTGCACATGTAAGGGTATTCCGAAGTGTATAAAATGTCAGATAGGGCAACTGACAAACTTCACTGCAAATACTAGATTGCTGTCGAGCATCGAAGCTGGACCATGTATTGTCAAAGTGGCTCATTTGGTACTGTTGGTTTGTGTATCTTTGGAATTAGTGGCGCCCCTATCTGACCTTCCGTATCTTAGCTTGGAGTCCCTTCGAGTGGCCTTTCAAGCGAGATGATGAACGTCCTGGGTAGATTATTTTGTAAGAGGCCAGAAAACTATCTGAAAGAGGTAAGAAGAAGAAAAAAAAAGGAATTCGACGTCCCTGGGGAAAAATACAAATCATAAAGTTTGGATTTTGCGGGTCAGTGGATTTTTGGCGACTCGTCAGTTAATTTGGTCTGATGACGAAGCGCAAGGGGTCGTCAAGGCCGCTTCGACTAATGGCCACGGTGGTGGAAGCAAAGGATGATAAAGGGTGGCTCTCGTAGCGGACATCAAGGAGAAAGCTACCCTGTGATCTTCCCGAGCATTGGCCAAGTCCTGGGCGAATTGAACGTGTTACCCGTTCACCGGTAGGCAGGCACACCTTTCAGCATGAGGGTTGTGTATGTGTATCAGGGGGGTGAAACTGGTGCGCAAGGGTGCAGGAGCAGTTAGTCTACTATCTAGCGTGTTTATGGTAATTCAGGCCATCCCGTTGACCTACGTGCACCATGCATATACATCGACCCCTCACTTTGACGCCGATCCATCTACTGCCAATTCGAGCTCCTCTTTGCTCAGCGTCCTCTCTCTCACCCCCAGCGTCGCGACGGCACGCCCCTGTTACCACGTAGAAGTCTGCTCATCCTCCCCGGTCCACACGAGCCACGCAATTTGGTTGTCGGCCAATTTTTCCATCAGGGTAAGTGTTCCCCCGCGATTTCACCGAGTGCACAAGACGCTCCCAAGTGGACCAGGGATGCCAGGCCACCCTTGTCCAGCACTTCACTCCCTTTGCTCCATCCCTCAGGAAAGGAAGCTTCGAGAGGTATACACGTAGAAGAATTTTCGTAGAGCGTCAATCTTTCCGCGACCTACGGAAAGATAATGTCTACCGACGACCCGGTCGAATTCAAGGGGGATGATTTTTCATTCGTTTTGTCGGACGGTTTATCGATGCGTTATTTCGCAAATGGCTCGCATTTGTTGTCGGTTGGTCTGACCGTGTTATCTCACGCATGGCTTGCGACGTGCTTGTCCGGCGTATATCGTTCGTAATTTTTTTAGCCACAGTGGATAGAACGCAGTCACAAGGATTTTTTGTCAAGAGTATCCCATCTTTCAAATGGACAAAAAAGCTCAGTCATTAAACATTTTTATTACATTACCTCTTAAAATCATTTCCCTCGTTCACCCTCTGGCGTGTCTTAACGATCGCACGAACTACGCAACCCTACTTATTTCACTTCGGATTCCTCAGACTCTATTTTGACCATTTCAACTCACGGTATTTCCCCTCTAGGTTCTTTTTAACTAGACCTTTTCTCAGCATAGCAAAGAATATGGCCCGGAAGGGAACATTGTTCACGGTACGTTTTACATCTTACTTTTTTACACCTTGCTCCCTTTAATGTTCCACTTTGCAAAGGGCGATGGGCGACCTCGGTGTTTTCAGCAGGGTTAGTAGCCTCGTCTTGAGATATCATTTGCAGAGGGAAAATGAACTGCACCAGTTCCTTTTATTAGGGCTTTTATTCCCTTTGATTAAACGCCAACGACCCCTCCATACCTACATATACATGTATAGCTGAGGGACCTATATTCCATGATCACCCAGCGAGCACTGCGAATTGTCGAGCGCCTTATCTTCAGTCATAATCCACGCTGAGTTCTCACCGACAATCTGTACGACTTTCATCCATGTCTATAGGCACTGGTGTTAACGCCCCAGGGCATTCTAATCAGACTACGTATACCGGTTGGATTATGGCCAGACACGCTCGTTACTCGTTTAAGACGAGATCTCGTCCGCGCTTCTAAATCGTGACGCGTTATAATTATACACGGGAGACCCTGTCAACCAGCTCTTACATGTGTCCAGATAGTTTAGATATATGTATGTTTTGTCTCACAAATAAGTATGGACACAGACTCCAGTCATAATACTATTTATTAGTACCGATCAAAAAATGGGATAAGCACAATATCACAGATGTTTTCAGATCGGACGCGTAGGCGTAAAATGGAATCGATTTTTACTGTCTACGGGATTAATGCTGTCTCAGCAAGGACCAAGTATCGTTCAATGTTTTGGCGCGCCCACGCAAAACAATTTCAAGACTTTCTCGAGCCACAGCCAAGTTTAAGAAGTCGTTTATGCCTGAGTGTTACATTTCAATTGGTGCGTGCCAGGTCGTCAAAGTTAAATCCTGCTACTTTGTCAATGGAAGAAGGAGGGTAATGGTGACGGCTGAGAGGTCGCTAACTGAAATGCAAAGCCGTTAATCTGATTTGGTTGCTCGTGAGGCTTTGGCGTGGCGAATTGGAAGTCTCGCTCGAGCCGCTGCTCGTGGCTTTCAGTCAATTATACATTATAAACAGTTATAAGTATGCAAATTCTCTAGGCACACACGCGGAAGGCATTAGCGCACGCACGGCGTCCCGTTCCACGGGTTCTCACGCACCCTCTGCGGATTACGCAAACTGCTTTCAACTGGGGAAATCAAAATTTTCGCGCGACTTCAGATTTCGAGATTTGATCAATTACTTTTGCGATTTTTAGAACGTCTTATGCGGCACAAACATTTTACTCGCTCTATTTCCATGTCGGTCAAATACTCGAATATTATCCGTGGCTTATCCGATATCTCTATGCTAATGTTACTACTTGGAAATTTCGTGACGGGTTCCAGTTAAAGAGAAAAACAATTTGTAGAGACGATAAGAGGCCTCGATGAATCATGGCAATTCAAAGTGGCTGCTTGTTTTTCCAGGTGAGTGAATGCCGCCATGGCGCCGCGCCGCACGAGTGAACCGCGCCGATCGGTAGTCAATGTAAAACATGGATATTATGCGCCGCGAACAGAACCGTTACCGCCACCAGTTTGCTACTGCTCGACGGGGGTTTGTGTGTACGATGTGCCGGTCACGCCATTGTTTTCCGGCTCGCACCTCGGAGTTGTTCGCTCGAACTTCGGCAAGTTGGAGGGGAGGAGAAAAATGATAATAGTAGTGTCCGAAGGTCGGGATAGGGTGGCACTGGAAGACAGCTGCTCATAATTGAGACATCAGAGTCAATATACCGGTCTAGGCTAACAGAGAGACAGGACGTAATATGGGACACAGCGAAGCGTGAAGCTTTAGGCTACATTCACACGGGACGAACGAGATACGAGCGACAGGAAGGATGTATGCGCGAGTCGTCTACGTGTATGTACATATTTATTTGTTTTGTATATATATACATACCTCTTTCATTCTTACCGCTTCCATTTTGTCTTCCGTACGACAGTCACGCACCGGGAACCTCAGGTTTTTCTTCCTCTCCGCATCACGATATCTATTCCATGTCGGTAATAAAATGCTCGGCGTACCTTCTCGACTCTCATCCCTCTGGCTTTTGTTATTCCGCGCGCGACGTGCCGCGTAAAGACGTGACAATCGCCGTAGGTAGGAGCCGATACCCTCGCACCGATCTATCCGCAAGCGATTTTGGACTATCGCCCGCTCGTGACACATCATAATAATACGTCTTCGTAGCTGAGAACTGTGGCAGCGTCCTTATTTTTCCTCCTTATTAAGAGTATCCGATCCCATGTCTATGACACACATTCAATGTAAAATTTCCACCGAGCGCTCGAAGCGCCAAACTGAAGCAACTAGCTGCGCGTGATTGGCAACAGCGACGCCAGCTGGCGAAATATTAAAACACTTCTAACGTTCGCGTAGTGAAAAAACGTGTGCTACAATGGCGGAACATCGTCGATTATTATATGAGATTCAACTGTGTGAAACGCTCTGAAGCCAGCGGTACAAACAGCGGCATTCACTTTCAACCGTCTAGGGATTGTGTTCACCAAATTCAGGATATTGAGGTACGTTAATAACTACATTAAGATTCTGGCACGCGTGATATTGCGCGCCCACTGCCCGCAACGCACTCTTGTGGTTGTACCATCGCGTTATTCGTATTTATTCCAGTTGCGTCTAGTATTTGAGTATCGGTTTTGCGGAAGGGTGGTTAGTTGTTGCTGTTAGTAGTGTCAGTGTTACCGGTGGCTTGTACTCGCTGGCTGTACTCCCATAGCTGGGGGCTTGCCTCCTCGATGCGTGGCCTACGCACGTACATACTATACATCTTCATGCACACTAGGTATCCAATAAGAGAGATGTGCGTGGCGCGGCGTGCGTGTCAGACGATCTAAGCGGATTATACCCTCTCTGCTGGCTGCTCGTGGGAAACCAGTCGGTTGTGCTATTACCGGTTATATACCCTGAGCTCTTGCCCCTCTATATATACAGAGCTGTTCAATTGGGTAGTGGCACCACGGATATTTGTAGTATACGGTTGAGTATCGTTTGATAATGTTTGATAGACAGTCCTGTGTAATTTTTATAAGGTTATTGACACAGCAGATATTAGTTTGCTAGCCGTACGATGCAACGTCCATTATAGTTCGAATGGACATTGCAAAACACATTTCACTGTCAATGTCAATGTTGCCAAATGGTGAGTGCTTAAAATTCTCATAATTGTCAAATTTGAGTAGTGTGTTTCAATTGTGAAATCCTGTATACAAGATTGTTCAGGCCAAACGTAGCAATTGCAGTTGGCGTTTTCATTTGAGATTATTGCTCGCCAGTGTACTAGCTGTTGTGTTTCTGATGACTTCCATAATTTGGTACGGCAGAATCGATTTTATAGGCAGGAGGCAATACGCGGACTGGCTTTTCTGGTGTAATTTTGGCTGGATAATTTTTGCACTGTTAAGTTAGCTTTCATTGTGGGTGTCGTTTTCTAGTTTGTGACTGTTGACTTGTTTCTTTTGTCCGGTACGGTAGAGTCATTAAAAAGGCCAATGCCCTTCTCTGTTCTGCTTATATGTATATCGTACTCGGGATTTTAAAGCTTGTGTCTAGTCGGGAGCTTTATCCTCGAGGGTTTCCGATATCCAGTTGATAAGTAATTCATTTCGCAAAGCACTGCCCGACGCTCCCGCGGGGATTATACTGCGTCGAAAGTCTAGCTGGCAGAACGTTTCCGATATCGGGTAGCAGAGTTGCGCGTAAGCTGGCTATTCTAGAAGCATTGCGGAATCAGAGCGGTTTTCGCACTTCCATATATGTATGCGCGCAAACGGTATATAGACATTTGTGCGAGCCGTACCATCCGATGCCATGTGCACCCTAACCAAACCTAACCCTACCCATTCTATAAGACATTTACTTAATTAAAGCCATCGATCTAGCAGACGATTCGATTACAGCCCTTCTAAATAGGGTTATCTTGAAGGTGTGCCTTTGAGCATCCTTTAATTTAAAATTTTACGAATATTCTGGAGAACGCCTGAACACGCCCACGACTCCGTCGTTCAATCTTAAGACTCATTCACACTTCTTGGAATTCTCATCAACAGAGATACTTTCCAGTGTCATGCGATATGCGACGTAGGATCCGCCATCTTGAGATACGAACAATACAAAAGGGTGGACTGTTAAATACGATTGCGTTTAAAAGCTGTAAATTAGGCGCTGTAAATTATAAGGAGGGGTCTCCTGAAGGGTTGCCAGATGAAATTTGTTGGGGCATCTTTTGAGAGGTCGTTGGGTTCCGGTAGGAGCAACTTGGTGGAAGGTTGGTTTGCAGGCAAATCAGAAAATGTATACACTATAAACAGGGCGACAGAAGTAGGTGCCCGACGACACTAAGGGTAATGAATATCTAAGATTACGAATGGGGTCTCAATGGCGAACACGATTAGAAAACAAATACCTCCGCTCCCTTCAGGCTGCGCTTGGCTTTGTAAATTAATACCAAAAACTCTAATAAGCACGCGGTGTCTGCCGAGCCCTGGTTTTCTCTAATGAGTCTCTCGTGCCTCTGCTTTTTAGTATGCAGCTCACAGACTCCCGGGACCGAACTTGTAACCGCTGATTTAAATTTATCAGAATCGCGCTACCCACTACTTCCACCTTCCTCTGCATCTACCACTCCTCATCGTCATCCTCGTATATCCCCGCTATCCATCCACCACATTCCGTTTCTCACGTCTTGACTCATTCACTCACTTACTTCCAGGCTGCAGGCGCGTCTTCCCCGTGGCCAAAATTCCCGAGGAACTTCACTGGCATGAGATTCCGCACGCGCCGCCATCACGCACGACGATCAAGCCCCCGCACGTAAGTACATAAGTACCAAACTACTCATTGGGTTCCATACTTTGCAGATTAGAGGCTATTAGCCCGAACAACCTGTCAAAGTTAGAGGATCATTTCGTAGCTGGGAAGGATTCAACTTCGTGAGGTTGGCTAAAATCGAAGGAAGTCCGGAAGGAGGATGGGAAGCCAGGAAGGAAGGTAGAAAGCAAGTGGAGAAGATGGGTGGTATAGTAATAGAACCGAGCGCCATGGTGATTAGCATTATAGATAAGGGTAGTACACGCCTGTGCGTACTAGCGTAGACCAGCAGCATCCCAGTACCAAGGCGATGGCTGTATCAATAATGAAGTGGAGGGTTAGCTGCGCTACCCCTTGCCACAAAGCCTTCACCTTCCTTTCCCACTGTCAGGAAGTGGTTCGGCATGTGTCCTGGGATTTGCGGAATAAGGGGGACTAGCAAGGAAGGTAACGTTACGTCCGCGTTATCAGTCTGCTGCGTCTAGCTCAATCGTCGGGATAGATAACGCTGCGTTCTACGGTTTAAATTTTGACCTCCAATCCCATAGCTCCGGGATGGCCTGGCGGCCAATAGTGATACGCCGGAAGTGGATATCAAGTATTCTAGCCTCTGAGCACGCGCCGTAACTCCTTCCGGGCCATTTTCAAACCGTTACTATTTCCCTTCCTGGCAACAGTTCCCTTATCAGACTCTCGCGCAATTATATGGAGGTTCGCGAGGAAACTGCGCATTAATTAAACTCAACTATTTATCCGGGTGAATCATGGCAGCAGGCCTTACTCGATCAGCCCTTATCCAATAACGAGGATTCGCTTTGTCTTCTAGTCCAACGCACGTTGCGCGTAATGAGCTAGACATGCACTTTCTCGGTCTCACTAAAGTTTCCGAGCCCATCGTGCATCCCTTAACCTGGCACGACATCACAAGTGTCAGACAATGCAGGGAGGATGTTGGATCGGATACGCAGCAGAGGAAGTTTGATGGGCTGGTTGAGACTCTTGGAAAATTTACCCGGGTTCATCCGGTGCGATGCACTTCCGCTCGAACTACGAATGGGAAATCTCGTTACGCAGATTTACTTTACTCACAGGGTTACATTGCTTGAGGGTGGGTACTCTTGGTTCGTTACTTCCCACCAGATGGTGGGTACGAGAGGCAGCAACGATATCGAGTCTATCGCGAAGAATATCGTTCGACTAGCGAAAACGAGACATCCCGTATTGCGAGATTGGAACATCAATTTTATTTTACGCTTGGTGTTCGTTTCTTTTTTTTTCTATTTTATTGTAATTCGACTTCGACTCTGGTACTTTCTTTTCCACGGCAACGACACGACTTTTAGCTCATCCCTCGATTCCATTATACCTTTTCGCGTTATACCTGGACGAGTTTTCTGTATTTTGCGTGTCTTTCACGAGGGTGGTTTATAACCTAAGATACATTTATAGGCTTATATATTTTCCAATGTGCCTCCTTTCACCTTTGACAATCCAATTTCAGTGTTATCGAGTGCGTATAGTTCTCCTCTTACGTACCCAATAGTCTTACATCTATTTGATGTATATTAATGTCGAGCGAAATTTTTGAGTTCCTGTATGAAAATTAAGAAAAATTTTCTTCGCAATAAAAATTTTACTCAAATTAATTTCATGCTAAGTGTATCATAAAGTATGCCGGGTGTTTGGTATTGAGATTCCGTTTGCTGTGCGCTCAACGAGCGTTATAATTATTTCGACGCGCGGCGTAATGCCTGAAAACTGTTCTTCGAGATAGTAAAAAAAGGGGGGTCGGAGGTCAGGTGGACATAAACGTCTCGACGGCATGTAACTCGCAGAGGAGAACTGGTATCGCCCGGAGGCGAGAAAATGTTGCGACGTATCCGTGAAGAGGAGGGAGAAAGATATTTACGTGGAGGAACGGGACATACTTATCGCGAGGACAAGAGGGTGAAAAAGGGACACACAGGGCGGAACGCCGGGACGATTGTCGAGAGAATGAAGTTTACCCGTGTTTCCCCTAACCGCAACAACCATGCTCTTGAGAGGTATGGGGTGTGTCGGGTATGGCTGGGATATGCCGTAAGGTGTATAACCCAACGGGGTACCATAGACGAAGACCGGAACATAGAAGCGCGCCAGCACAGAAACATGGGAACATGCGATCCTTACCCTTGGAATATAATGCAAGAGGGATGATAGTCCGCGAGGCGGTACTATGTTGGTGGGTTGATTCAAACCGCTGGGTCGGTTGCCGGATAATGGGCCATGGATCCGTCTAACGTTTCATGGCCCCCTAGAGGATGATATAATCAAGAAATCATAAAGATCATCAGCCAGAAGAGGCACGGGAACCTGGACCTGTTTCTCTAAAATTGCTCGTGGTAGCTACGCGAATTTCGGTATGATTTTACGAGACTGAAAGGGAACGTAAGCAGGGGGATGGTCCGCGAGAGAGAAGTCGGTAGCCATAAAGGAGAGAAGGGCCAAGTCTGGAAGGATGGCCAAAACCGTTCAATAGCGCGCGCATAATTTCGTAGTTCCGGGGAAAAATAAGGAAATGGGGTCGAGAGATTCGACCACGTTGGATGAACGCTAGATTGAAATATCTTAAATATTATCGCCAGGGGTCTCGGCTTCTTTTACCCAAAGAAATATCTTACTACCCCTTCGAGGCTCGCTTACCTAGAAAACACTTTTACAGCATCCCCTTGAATTTAGGGATGCTCGACGGGCCTGTTTTTCGTACAATTTGTAAAAAAAAAAAAAAAAAAAAAAAAAAAAAAAGATAAGAGTGAAAACAACCCGACTCTGAAAATACTCTACGTACACGTCAGACCGGTACTGACTCACCCAATGAAATCACGTCGTCACGTAGAAGCCAATTTATCAGCCATTGCTTATTACACCTGCAATTAGCAACTGGGCTAATTGTAAACAGAAACGTAGAACGAAACGCGAATAGAACGACGTAGTTCTAGCAGTTTCGTCTAGTACTGTGGGCCACGTAACGAAGAACCAGGCGAACGAACCCTCCCTCCTCTTTTCACTGGTAAACAGTATAGCTAATTGATCACGTCCTCTTGCACTCATATTTATCCATTATTAATTCTACGCCACTGTGTACTCACACTATACAGTTTATACATTTACCATCCAATCTCGTTACACAGCCCTTGCTTGTTTATGAAATATCACAAACTGTGGGGATCATTATTCAAACAGTAATAAGTTCCTACTCGTATGCCACCAGGCAGCGGTATCTACTCTCTAACATTGCCAATCTTCTTCCACGGTGGCCAAACCATCACACGCTCTAATTATTCGTTATTCAATTCAATCGATCTGACCTAATGTCATTCTGTCTACCCCTTTCCTGTATATTTTTTTGATTCGACAAAAAATTATCTGGACATCCTTTTTTTTATCTATCTGCTTCCATCGTAACCTAATCTCGAAAATACTTTGAACCCTCCGATAGTTTATTGTGAGAAGCGAGAATATCCCACGCTCGTGGAACTGCTCACGTAAGTCACGTTTTAGGACATCTAATCATAACTGATAAGACCCATGCAGTGTTTAACTTCTAGGACAATGTATGCAGTCTCCGAACTCGTACGTGTAGAGTTGATCTTTTGTCGACTTTCTTATTGACTCTGAAAGGGGTTGCGGCTTTATTTGCTTGCTCAAGGATTCTTCTATTACTATTACTCTATATTGCTTCAGTATGTTTTTCCGAGGGTGGCAACTCTGTGAGTACGCTGGCTGGGATAACGGGTAATGTTAATATATGGTTTTCATTGAATATCTCAATAATCTAGTTTACCAAGCGCTCTCGTGCTGTTTGCCAATGACTCAGATCCTCGAGCTTTCAGCGTTCGGAATAGTTTCGCTTGGAATTCCCGTGACTTATACTCTAGACCAATTGTTTCTTCCGCTAGAAGATTCAGCTGGCTTATTAAAGTTGGCGTTTAACTATTCAATTTTATTATATGTTTCCCTTATACCAGCGGATTCGTAAAGGGTACTTTGCACTGTAACTAATTTAATATATCTATGTATACAAAGAGGTAACAGTTGCGTAACATTTTTTTTTCACTGGGAATACGTGCTACGTGATTTTACCTAGGAAGTAAAGATCCCATGATCGTAGGTTATGGTAGCGCGTGTTCCAATATAGGAACGTGGATCTGGAGGGTTGGCATTGGGTTTAGTAAGGTTTGAGAGTTTCAAGCGCCAAGGGATAAAAAGGATAGGAGTGACGAATGTATGTATCTGGCCTGTAGCCGAGCAGTTTCTAGGCTGTTCGGACGGTCAAATTGTTTCGAAAGATCCTGATGCTCCATCTTAGATTCACGCTCTGAATAATGAACCTAATCGAAATACGTACGGAACGTGGTTTTCTGTACTATACTGTATATATATTCATATACATACTATAAAAGTTCGCATACAGTATAATTAACGATAGACTTTTTCCATGAAGAAAAGTTCACTCTTAATCCTTCGGATAATACCTAAGTGAGAGATCGCTCGGATCCTCTAGGGAATCAAAAGTTTTTCTATACCGCCATTGTGAGAGTTCAGGATAGCTATCCATGGTTAATTCAACCTGGGACAAGGAAGACGCCTTCACTGTAGCGATAGTCTTCAGAAGTTAGAGCAGGTATCGGTTGCGAGGTGCTCAGCTATTTCTTAAGTATCGTGCACAACCAGCGATCCGTTAGGATCCCGATAGAACAAAGCCAAAAGTATTGATATCATCCAGTGGACAGGGAAGTAACTAAACTGGGTTTGCTAGAACTAGCGGAGCATGTTGTTCCCGGTCCAGGACATTAGGGCTATGCAAAAGATGAGTATCCGGTACAAATGTTTATACAGACAACACGCATACCGGTACCGGACCAGACAAAGAGACGCTCGTAGTTGGATCAGATTGACGACGGTTTGCCTTCCTTCGAATGTTTCCTTCTGCAGTAACACGGAAGGACGGAGTCAGGATAAAT